AATGTCTCTCTCTCTCTCTCTCTCTCTCTCTCTCTCTCTCTCTCTCTCTCTCTCTCTCCAACTTCACTAAAAGCTGCAGACGATAAAGTTTCTCCTCTCTATATTGACCTTAGCTGACAGCCAGGGGCACTCTAAGCAACTGCAGCTGTCTACTTTACCTTCACTGTCTGAACAGTAGTGAACAGCTCTCGGCCTTTGGTCTCCGCCATAGACTTAACATATTACAAGACTGTGAAATCTGACGTACTTCCGGTTCACCATGGCGCACACCAGCTGATTCTATTTGGAACAATTGAAGGGCAAGAAGTGAAAGGTTGTGCACGTTTTCGACTTGAGCGAGACTGGTGGTTTGCCTTTCATTACCCGCCCACTGTGCACACCAGAGCAGCGAAGTTTTTAAAGAGAGCGGTAAAAAGCGGCGGCCTTGGCAGTGGCCGGTCTATCATAATCCAAATCTACCGTCTTGGTGTCCATTTCCCTTCTTTCTAAAGCCGCCATCTCTACATGCAGAATCTGGCTTCTTGCTTTGAGCGCGATCGTTTCACCCAGGTGGAGAGAAGAATGTTTACTAATACGCGCACATGCACACAAACGCGCACAAGTTTATCTGCTCTCTTACCTCTCACCCTTTCACCCATCTTCTCCCTCCCTCTTCCACATCTCCTCTCCTCCTCCCCCCCCCTTTCCCCCCTCCCCTCTCACACTCTAACAACCCTCTCACCCCCTCCCCTCTTTCTCCCCCTCCTCCTTCCCCATCCCCTCTCCCCCTCCAACATCCATCTCATTCCACCCAGAATACTCCGCCCACCTCTCGAAAAACAAAACAAACAAAAATTTCTAGGCCACTTTCTGAGAGATGTGTCCTGGGGAAAATATATATAGCCTTGACATTGTGCAATCGTGCGAGCTTCAGCAGAAAATATCATTGAGGAAATTATACATTTTATGTAAATTCTGTCTTCTTCTTTCTCAGTACCGAAGTAAACGACCAACTCGAAATGTAAAGAATCCCTCTCTCAGATGAATGGGAAGTATGTGGTAGGACTTTCTATTGGCACGCACTAACCCACTATCCCCGACCTCCTCTTTCAGAACACGTAAGTTTACTTTGAGGGTAACGTGAAATTATTATAAACGATGTATATGTATATGTACATATCCCTCCAACAACCCCTCCCCCCTTTCGTCTACCAAACTCCTTCTCTCCCACCCCACTCTCTCACCACCCCCCTCCCCCATAACTTCACTCCTAACACACAAACGCATAACACACTCACTAACGCACGCACACGCATTCACAAATACACACACACACACACACACACACACACACACACACACACACACACACACGTGCAAAAACACATACATACATACATACATACATACATATATACGCACACACACACACATAACACTCACAACCAC